TGCCTTCTTCTAGTATCTCACTAGTTTACATTTGAAAAGGATCCTGCTCTTTGTTATTAGTATGTCAGCTGTACTTAAGCTGAAGAAAAGCAAATTTGTCTCTCTAGCACAAAGGCCACTGGCAAGTTTTACACTTTGAAAGTGGCCTGTTCAAAATTTGTTTTTATAGATAAAATCATTGTAAAAACTAGAGACCTACTTTTTCCAAGGTTTCAATTCTTAGCCTTTAAGCATATTCACTGTTAGTCTAAAAGTTTAGTGTAGGAGAATTCCAGCTTTCAAAGATATTTTAAGAGAATCTGACCCAGTGTATTGTGCAAGAATCTAATTCACCACTGCATTATTCTACTATTATACCTGAGTATCATGAAAATCAATGGAGCTCGAGGGGTGGAAAACTGGAATAACGTCGGGGGAAACAAGTCACAGATGTTTGTGATGGGGTGTCCACCCCAAACAGATTGGAAGGGGTTCAGATGGCCAGGCTGCACCTGGAAAAAGAGCCAGGGGCCACATCTACTCTACAGCCCAGATCGATGTTCTAAGATCGATCCACCTGCAGTCAATTTTAGTGGCTCTAGTGAAGACCTACCAAATGGACTGCAGATTGCTCTCCGGTTGACTCTATTACTCTATCCTGGATCAGATGAATAAGGGAAATCAATGGGAGATTTTCCTCCATCAACACCCCCTTCCTATGGTGTAGAGCCTGCAGTAACTCGACTTAAGAGATGTTGACTCCAGCTATGTGAATAACGAGTTGCGCGCAGCTTATGTCAACTTTCTTCCCTGGCAACTAGAGCTGATTGGAATTAGGTTCAGCTGTGCAGGAACAAGCAGGGCCTATAAAGCTAGAAAGCTTGGGGCAGAGAAAGGGAAGTAACTCCCTGGGAAGAGGGTGGAGGGTTTAGAGCTTGTACTCCCAGAGCAAGAATGGAAACTAGGAGCTGTAGAAAGCAGTCCAGGGACGGAGCAATTAGAGTTGTAAAAAAAGACCAGCACTGCTGGATTGAGGGGCCATGGATGGGAATGCGAGATAGAAGGAAAGCCTGAGTTCCCCTACCAGCCACTGAGAGTGTGGCATAAACCAGCAGGGCAGTGAATGAGACAACTTCCTAGATAACTGTGATAATAGCTAACTGAAGGACTGTGTCCTGGAAGGGGTAATACTGAGTGACCTAGCTGGAGGGCTACGTCAGGAAGAGGATGCTCCAGTTTCTGGGATGAGAGAGGAGTCGCACACATAGGAGAGAGTGAGTTTGACTACAGCAAGGGGGCACTGACCTCAAGAACTAATCCCCAGAATAACCAGGAGGAAGTGCCAACCAAGGAGCAAGTGGTGAACCTTGTGAGAGTGTTTAAAAATTCTAAAACATTGGAAGTGTCCAATGAGAGCATATTAGTTCCCAAAATACATACAAATGACTAAATAGCCATCCAAATTACATATCATTATGCACCCTGAATTATCAGTATAAGACAACAAGGCACAGGCCAATGTAACTCTGCATATAAAACCAAAGCCATTTTGTGGGCAGGTTATGGCATTAAAATATTTCACTAACTGGCTAACATGGCTATACTGTAAGTTTTTCTATCTATAATCACAGAATTAACAAATTGTTTTTTCTACAGAAAGAAAATAAACTTGAAATACCCACTATAATACTATATTAAACATTTTCTTAAATTCTCTCTCTAGAATTTTATTTACAGCTGATTCACACTGATCAACCTGTAACAACCAGAAAATTTTAAAATTAGTTTAGAGTTTCTTTTTCATCTGTTTCTATATGGAACTGAAATGCTTCCCCTCAATCGGAACTATTTGATTGTTTTCAAGAACCGCTTATATTGATATTTACATTTGCTAGCTTACTGTATGTGTCTTAGCTCAGTTAAATCAGACTACAGTTTTGGATCGATAGCATAGGTTTTGTTTCCACCACAAACCTTCTCATGTGATTTTCCACTATAAACAATTATTTAACAAAAAGGCACATTTATCTTGCATTAAGTCATCAGTTTAATGATGACTGGCCAGGGATGTTGGTTTAATTCATTACTAAGAAAAACCTGACAAAAATGTGTCAGGGAAGACTTGTTAATTCTTGCCATCTCCTCTCCTTTAACACATATACTTGACTCTACTCTCTGCTGTACTGTCAGTCAGATTCAATGTGGAGCAGTGTTGAATTGATTGCAAGGAGCAGAGTAGGAACAGAATGAAAGAATTTCTATATTCCCAAACCTCATTGACACAACATATATTTGCTTACAAACAGGTTCCCTGCCCCCTTTAAATAAGAGGCAGAATTCACAAAACTTAACAACCTTTCTTTTTGCTCTACCTTTGAAAACAGAGATCAGGTGATTGTAGCAGACACTTACAGGAATCTGAGTATAGGAGTGGCATACGGTCACTTTTCCTAAAGCTACTCCATTGACACACAACTCTATGGAAATACTCTAATCAGCTCTCTCTGATAAACTTACTAAAATATAACCTGTTGCTCCTGAAAGATTAATATCCATTTCTTTGAGAACACAATACAGCTACAAACTATAAACTGTATACTGGGTCCTACCTGCCTCCAGTACTGACATAGGTAAAGTATTTCAACTACAGTTTGCATTTCACAGATTGTGCTGCCTTGCTAATCTAATCAAATACTTTGCTTTGCTAATCTAATAAAATACTTATTTTTTAAAACATGCAAGACATTGCTCATGCTATCAGTTTTCAGCTTGTAATGATAAAATATATGGATCTGTTTTGAAAGGAAATATTGTGAACTTTGTCTATTGCCCTTATTTAGGAATACTGTTTTCACATTTTACATTCTACTAACTCAGTTATGCCAGTGCCCCATTAATACAGAGAAAAAAATGAAAGCAACTCACCACACCATAGGAGTATGTGTCACATGTTTCAGACACTGGTAGACTCTGGATCACTTCTGGAGCCATCCAAGGGAAGGTACCCACTAATGACATGTGTGTTGTATGGTGGTGAAACCTTGAGGCACCAAAATCACAGATCTGGCCAAACCAAACAATAAAATGCCAAGTTCTCATTCATTTGACTTCAAAGATCTCAAGCAAAGCAGCAGCAACACCTTCCAAATAATTAAAATGTTCCTACCTTTAATACTCCATCAGCAGCTATAACAACTGAAAAATCAAGAAACAAAATGTAAATGAATTACATTACAAAGAAGAACAATGTCTCCTGTTAACAACATCTTAATAGCTAACCAGTTGACTTTTGATAAAGAAAATGATCCCACAGTAATACAGAATTTGAATATATTGGCACATAAAATTCTCTTGGTTTCTTGGGAAATGTTTGAAGAACACTTTTCAAATACCTGAAAGTTTATGAATAAACTCTATAACTAAAATAGAAAAAAAATCACAAAAGAGGTCTATTATTAATAAAAGAGAATGTAATTTACTAGCAAAGAAACAGGCTACAATAAATCGCCTAACTTATAATTCAACTCTCCCTTACACATTTCCTCAAATGTTTTGTGTTGTAATTGTGGGTACCATTGTATGTATCCATTTATTGACATTAGCTGCAAATAAGTAGGAAAAAATCCAGTATGATGTTTGAACTATTCTTCAATTTCACAGTCACGCTTTTTAGCAAATACCCTTTCTATAATCACCTTTACCTTAACTTTGACAGACCATCAGCTCAGTTAAATTAGACTGGTCTATACTAGGACTCCCCTTATTTTGAAATAACAAGCAAAGTGTCCACACTACCAAGCCCATTATTTTAAAATAAGGGGCTGGTTATTTTAAAATAGTAACTCCTGCTTTCCACAAGGAATAACACTTATTTCAAAATAACTATTTCAAAATAGTGGTAGTGTAGACACTCCACTGCTGTTATTTTGAAATAACTACTCCCCAGAGTCATTCAAAGTAATTATTCCCCATGCTTCCTGGGGCTCTAAGTCAAGGTAGCACATCCACATTCTAAGAAAGCCTACCTCTGACTAATTTTGAGGCTTCCCTGTAGTGTGGACATGCTATTTTGAAATAGCTATTTCAGGAGTTATTATTTTTAAATAAGTTATTTCAAAATAATTTCCTAGCGTAGACATGGCCTTAGAGTGAAGTTTCATTACACTCAAATAGTAATCTGACAAGTATGTTTAAAAAACGGAATTCATGTCCTCCTACATAATGTGAAAGGAACATCAGACACTCTGTTCCCTCAAAGTTTCCTTCACACACCTAGTCAAAATTATTGTGTTGGTTGATTTACTTTAGAAATACCAAGAACGTAAAGTCCAGGCTTTACTGGTTTTGCTGAAAAACCTCTTAGGAAAGAGCTCATGTTCAGTGTAAGTTCTAACACCTTAACTGAAGAAGAAGAAGGGATATTTAATCTTTAACAAAGATGTCCAGTAGCCTCCAAATTAAGTAGCTATTGAAAAGTTGAATAGTTGCAAACAAAAACAGAAAAATCAAGGATTCTGACTAAAAGAAAATTGCTACTCTCAGTTACACAAACTTTCACTCTCTTGCCTCCTAGTGAATCATCATTTCACTAGTCCTCTAATCACTGAAGATAAAATAATGGCAGACAAGACATGATTTAATCAAATAAAAGCAGGGGGATATCAAATATCTAATACCAAATATAAGCAGAGGGAAAAGTATTTTTGGATTTATTTCTTAATTTATAAGTCTGACAGGTATTCTTTACCATGAAGTGGAAAACAGCTCAGTTTGAGGGTAGGTCTACACTACCTCAATAAGTATGGTATGCAACTCCAGCTGTGTGGATGTTTTGAATCAGTTCTGAGTTAACCAAGTTGCGGAAAGCATCCAGCAACTAAGGAGTTTCATTTTTTTGTTTCGTTTTGTTTAAAGGCTCTTTTTACTTCCCACAAAAATTTGTCAACTGTACTCAGATTTCTTAATAGGCCTTTAGATGTAGTACTGTGTGTCAAAACGTTTCATGCAGTCTTTGACTCTACCACTATGACTTGCTAAAATTGTGCTCTTAGGCACATCTGCAGTAAATTTTCATGGGCGCTAAATAAAATTTTCAGACAGTTAAAGGGAAAAAGGGAGAGAGAGTTTTCTAACTATAAAACTGAAACTACAAATACGGAAATAAATGTCCAGTTTTCCCTATCATAGTAATCAAGGCTCATGATGAACCCTCTAAGAAATTCATGTTAATAATAATGGCATCAATGATTAATCAAAGTTTGTAAAATAAAATAAATATTTTCTTAAAGATACTTAAGAATGAAACCACATTCAGCCATTTCTCCATTCTTATAGAGCATTTGGTGAATCACAATAATTTACTAGTAGTAAATATTTCAGCTGAAGTCACTTTTCAGCATGTTTCATAACTGGGTCTGGAACTAACCCAGTGGAACAGATTCACTCAAACCCCACAGCCAGTTTACATTCTTCAGAAGCACTATCATCTGCAAAAAGCTCAATCAGTGCTGAAAGAACTATAACATTTTCAGAGCAGACACTGGGCCAGATTCTCAAAGCCATTTTGGCTGTTTTACACTTCGCATCGCAGTTCTCCACCATCCCCTCCTGGGCCTCAGCATACTGTACATTTCCAGGAATAAAGGAAAGTACCCGGACAAACCTTGGCTGCTAGAACAGACCATGGGACCATGGGCAGCAAAGCATAATTTAAAGCAGCACTACAGACTGCTCTGAATTATGCCAAGGACTGGAATGGTGCCCAGACTGTCCCAAGATTCAAGGGAGGGAACACAAAGATGGCTTAGCATTGCTTTTTTCTCTGCCTTAGCTGCATATCTCAGCTACAGTTGATGGTTTAAGTCCTGTATCTCTTAAAGGCTAAAGTTAAACTGTCACGTTAATTGAAAACAGAAATATAGAACCACTTAAGTGCAAAGTTACTTTACCATTTCTAGACTTCAGATCTCTGTGAATTACTTTGACTGGAGCCTCCATATGTAAGTAATGCATTCCTATAGAAAAATGAGGAAAAGTTTTTAAATTGTGCTGATTTAGCAAGGTCCTGCTTCTAATAATACATTAGAAGAGGAATGTTGTTTGATATGAGATTATTTGCATGATGAGAGTCCTAAATATGTAAAAGGTATAGATGTAATTCATTGTCATATACATGAACATAAATGGGAGACATCGCCCACCCAACAGATGCATATTTTTATGCTCCCATTTCTATTGTAAGTATTTTATTTATCTAATGCAGGCAGAGCTGGGTGAGTCATAGGTAAGCTGATGATTGGACAGGAGGGAGACACAGAGTGTCTTATGAACCAGAAATATGATCTGGGTCTCTACAGTTACAGAGGTAACTTGCTCTTGCATCTAAGCATCATGCTCATGGTTGGTATATAAACTATAATTGCACAGAGTTAATCACAATGACAAGCTCAGTCCCTTATCTGCTCTGCCTTCTTCTAGTACTTGAGGCATATAAAATGCAGCCACCAGCCTTCATTATTCAGATGAAGTTACTTAGAGAGTACTTGGTTATGTTGACATAAAACTCCAGAATGACTTGCAGTTACCAACCTTTTGGAAAATAGATAAAAATAAGTTGTAGTTTAGCCATTTAGGCACTGGGGCACTCAGATTCTCTAGTGTGGACTCCTGAAAAGCCTTAAAGTTTTATATGGGACATCACACATGCCCAGGGACCCACAATTATCAATCTGAATACAGGATCAGGGCCTTAAAGCATTAGCTAGTCTATTCATGTGTATTTAAATTTGAAATGCATCAAAAACTGTTTAACACCTTGACTAATTTTGAAAAAAAGTACTTGAATCATAGAACACTAGAACTGGAAGGGGCCTCAAGAGGTCACTGAGTCCAGTCCCCTGCCCTCATGGCAGGACCCAGCACCATCTAGACCAGAGGTGGGCAAAAGAGTTTCCATGGGCTGAATCCCGGCCCACGGAGGCCCTGCCACTCCCCTGCCCCCAGGCCCTAACTAACTAGGGCCTGGGGGCAGGAGAGCACGCGAAGCTTCCTCCTGCCCTGTGAGGAGCATGCAGTGCTTTGAAGCGCCGCATGCTGCTCACAGGGCAGGAGGAGATGTCACGCACTCCCCTGCCCCCAAGCCTTGATTGGCCTGGAGGGCAGGAGGAGTGTGCAAAGTCTCCTCGGACCTCCCCACCGCCCTGTGAAGAGGGCATGGCACTTCAGAGTGTCATACATTCGCGCAGGGAGGGAGCAGGGCGAGGGAAGCTTCGCACAGCTCCCTCGCCCCCAGGCTAATCAGGACTTGGGGGCGGGGGAGCGCGTCACGTCTCCTCCCACCCTGCGAGCAGCGCGTGGCACTTCGGTTTCAAGTGCTCCCCCCGCCCCCAGGCCAATTAGGGCCTGGGGGTGGGGGTAACTCTGAAAAGCTTCCTTCGTCCTGTCCCAACCCTGCGAGGAGTGCATGGCACTTCAAAGTGGCACATGCTTCTCACAGGGTGGGAGGATGCTTCTTGAGCTTCCCCTGCCCCAGGCCAATCAGGGCCTAGGGGTGGGGGATTGTGTGACGCCTCTTCCCGCCCTGCCAGGGGCATGGGTGCCTAGAGGGGGGGGGGCAAAGGGGCTCCCCCCCAGACCAATTATGGTCTGGGGGTGGAGAAGCCTGGAAGCATTCTGACCCCGCCCCTTCCGGATTAGGCCCCACTCCTTCCAGGTTGGCTCTTGGGCAAAAATTATTGCCCACCCTTGGTCTAGACCATCCCTGACAGATGTCTATCTAACCTGCTCTTAAATATCTCCGGAGACAGAGATTCCACAACCTCCCTGGGCAATTTATTCCAGTGTTTTATCACGTTGATAGTTAGGAAGTTTTTTCTACTGTCCAGCCTAAACCTCCCTTGCCTCAGTTTAAGCCCATTGCTTCTTGTCCTATCCTCAAAGGCCAAGGAGAACAATTTTTCTCCCTCCTCCTGGGTAAAATTATGAAGTGTGATTTCCAAATGAATATCAATTTTTCAGTAAGTCATTTTAATTTGTAAATATAACTGGAAGTGTAAACATATGTTTTACATTATTTAAGTGTAGTAAAATGCATACAGAATAACATTCACCTGTTTTAAGTTATTTAGGTCATTTCTAATTAAACCACAGGTAGAACCTCTCTAGTCTGGTAGCCCCTGTCCAGCATCATCGGTGGTATGGCATGATTTTAGTTAGCCGGATGTCCACTTATCAAGGGTCTGGTCAAGTTTCCCGTGGTCCTATAAAGTTTGTCTAGTACAGTGTTTCTCAACCTTTTTTTTTTTTTTTTAAATAAAGTACCCCTTTAAAAAAAAATTATAAGTACCCCTCCAGTACCTACAGTTTTCAAACACACAAAAAAATGTTCTACCATTGCAACGTATTTGTTTATACAACTTAATTGTAGCCAGGCGGATGATGAAATTTTTGAGTGTAAAAAATACAAAAATAATAAAGTACTGTAAAACTTAAAACAAAAATTCAGTTTTCTCCAAATTTCAGCTGTGTTGATGTACCCCCCGAGACTTCTCTCAAGTACTCCTAAGGGTACTCGTACCACTGGTTGAGAAACACTGGTTTAGGGCCACCAGTCCTGGCTCTCAGTTTTCTATGCTGTTACTGAGCTCTAATTTACCCATCTGTGTCTTCTAAGAACCCAATAAGGAATGGAAGTGTTGGTAATGCTGCTAGACAATATTAACCTCCCATGGTTTGGCAAATTCTCTGGTTCGACATCAGTCAGGTCCCAAGGGTACCAGATTAGAGAAGTTCAGCCTGTATTCTGTCGAGTACTCTAAGGGCTTGTCGAGACACTAAAGAAAGTTAAGACAAATTAACTAAAGGTGCAAAGTTAGACCACATAATTTAAAGTACATAACTCCCTGTGTTAGAAGTAAAGTGGTTTCAGTTTGCTTTAGCTAAGGATCTGTCTACATGGGAAGGTATTCCAGAATAGCCATTCCTGACTAACTCCCTTTGGAAGTGGATTAAGATAATTTGGAAAAAGGCACACTCAACTGGAAAGTGTCCAACAGGAATTAAATCATGAATAACTATTCCACTTAAAATTCAGACTCCACCTTAAACAAAATTAACTGCCCAGGGTAGAGAAGCTCTTAGGTACATCTATATTGCACCGTTATTTCGAGATAATGTGAGCATCTACACATCCATTCTGTTATTTCGAAATAATTTCAAAATAACGGACAGCTTATTCCGAAATCTGTAAACCTCATTCCACGAGGAATATTGCCTATTCCGAAATATCTATTCATGTATAGATGCTTTACTGGTGCTATTTCAAAATAGCCCCTCACCAGGGCCATTCTAAATTATTCCTCCCCAGTGTCTCCTGGGGCTCTAAATCGAGATAGCAGGTCTACATTAGGAAAGCCTGCCTTGGACTAATTTTGAGACTTCCCTGCAGTGTAGACAGGCTATTTCAAAATAAGCTATTTTGGAATAACTATTCCAGAATAGCTTATTTCGAAATAGCCGTGCAGTGTAGATGCACCCTTAGGCTGCGTCTAGACTGGCATGATTTTGCGCAAAAGCAACTGCTTTTGCTCAAAATCTTGGTGTCTGTCTACACTGGCCGCAAGTATTTGCGCAAGAACACTGACTTTGTACTGTACGAAATCAGTGGTTCTTGCGCAAATACTCCGACGCAAGTATTCTTGCACAAAAGCACATGCCAGTGTAGACGCTCTCTTGCGCAAATACGTTTAACGGAAAAACTTTTCTGTTAAAAGTATTTGCACAAAATCATGCCAGTGTAGACGCAGCCTTAGTCTTTAGTGTAAGCTAAAGGTCACTAAGGCTATTTTATTTCATCTTAACTTTCCTGACAATCCCTATGTAAACAAGCCTTAAACCTAGATATTGACCTATATATGCAGTGTGTTTCTATGTACATTCGCTATGAAAAATATTCTCTTGGGATTGAGAGCCAAGACACAAGCAGAATTGGTCAATGGAAAAGAGATAAATCTTACCTTTAGCTATATCAGTTGCCCAGGTCATGATATGCTCCATATCCATTTCTTCACTTTTGTTGCTATTAATGTAATCATACAATGAGCCAACAGAAGCATATTCTATTAAAAAAGGATATACAACATATTTCAAAATGTTGCTTCCAAATAAAAAACCGGGTTATTTGCCACCAATGACAAACTATTTCTAGGCAAATGTAATCTGCATTTCCCCATATAAAACTCTATAATAAGATTGTGTGGGTTCCATAATTAACTGGCTGTATAGTACATGGAGGTAAAAGAAAGGCATTTTGTTTTAAATTATCCCCCAGGCAAGGAGTGTATGTTAACGTTAAGACAGTAAAAAGGCTTGGCATAAACAGAATTCAGATAAGCCAGATCAGGAGCATGACAAACATTTGGGGTAGGTACATTGGGATGTTTAACAAAAAAAAGTCAGAACAGTTCTGCACAAGAAAGGAGTTATGTAAAAATGTAACCTTTTTACTCAGGAGATTTGTTCCACTTGCAGAACAGAATTCAGAATTACATTTACTGACTTCAGAGCCTAAAATAAGTTTGTACAACTTTTCTCTGTTCTTAGACATGTAGAGTCAACACTGCTAAGAGAGCCAGGTGGATTCTATTACTTCTTATTCATTGCGAACAGAATTTTTACAGTCAAGGTACTTTGTTCTGAAGAATTACATCTGTGCAAACCTACGATCAGCAATGTCATTGCACAAGTGCAATTAAGGGTATGTCTACACCCATCAGAGGTCTATCTGCAGCACAGGTAGATATGCACAAGCTAGCTTTGAACTAGCTAGCATGCAGTGAAGCCATGGCAACATGGGCTAGCTGCCCAAGTACAAGCTCACTAGGGAGCCGAGCACGTGAGAACATTAGAATGGCCAAACTAGGTCAGACCAAAGGTCCATCTTAGCTTAGTCTTTTAACAGCGGCCAATGCCAGGTGCATTCAGGAGAATGAACCAGTGACATGCCTCCCAAGGCCTGTGAAAGCGAGGCCTGGACAATGATCCCTTGCTTTCACAGGCCTTGGGAGGCAGGCCAGTCCTTGCTCACAGACAACCCGCCAACCTGAAGCATATTCTCACCAGCAACTACACGCCGCACCATAAAAACTCTAACTCAGGAACCAATCCACGCAACAAACCTCAGTGCCAACTCTGCCCACATATATACACCAGCAACACCATCACAGAACCTAACCAGAGCAGCCATACTGTCACTGGTTCATTCTCCTGCACATCATCTAACGTAATATAGGCCATCATGTGCCAATAATGCCCCACTGCTATATACATTGGCCAAACTGGACAGTCCCTACGTAAAAGAATCAATGGACACAAATCAGATATTAGGAATGGCAACATACAACCTGTAGGGGAACACTTCAGTCTCCCTGGACACACAATTGCAGATCTAACGGTAGCCATCCTGCTGCAAAAAAACTTCAGGACCAGACTTCAAAGAGAAACTGCTGAGCTACAGTTCATCTTCAAGTTTGACACAATCAACTCTGGATTAAACAAAGACTGTGAATGGCTTGCTAACTACAAAAGCAGCTTCTCCTCTCTTGGAATTCACACCTCCAGATCAGCTACTAGAAGTGGGCCTCATCCTCCCTGATTGGATCCACCTCGTCATCTCTAGCCTGATTCTGGCCTGCATATTTATACCTGCCTCTGGAAATTTCCACTACATGCATCTGACGAAGTGGGTCTTTGCCCACGAAAGCTTATGCTCCAACACTTCAGTTAGTCTATAAGGTGCCACAGGACTCCTCGAAGCTTTAGCTAGATCAAAGCTCTTTCAGGTATGTCTACACATGCTGCAACACACTTCCAACTGCAGTGATGACCCATTTCTCACTCACTAAAGGGCTCATTTGGCCTGCAGCTTCTTCACAGCTGGGGATAGCGAGAATCCACTTTGACTTTCAGAGCCCAGGATGAGTTTGCAGGGCCAATAGCTAGAAAAATCAGTCTACTTACAGTAAATTAAGCACAATGGATTCTGAAGTCATAAACATAAACTAGGAGCGCCACAGTGCCATTTGATACTATTTTTTAGTACTTTAAATTATAAAGAGATTATAAATCAGAATGCAGAATTTTCCATTCTTTATCAGATTCTGGTTCATCAAATGGACTCCAGTAGTGTCTAATACTTAATGCTTTAAAGGAAGATGGACACTCCTCATCATTGAAGTATTGCACAATGTTGTACCCGAGGGCAGGCAACACATTCCATCATAAAATAAATAATTTAATTATTGTCTAAAATATTTGAGACAAGTACAGTATTTGAATATGACCTTTAATTATTCAGTTTTTGGATGTGGGAATCATAGAAATAGAATTTTTTGTTAAGGACAAATGGTCTAATGTTGAATTACTGTGGCAAAATTTTCATCTGTTTCAGAATAGGCTTGGTATGAGAAGTGTGGGGATGGGAGCAGCTGTCAGGAACAAGTTATGCCTCCTTGATCTTCCTAGTGTCAGGGTATACTGGGGGCAGATGATGTAGGATCCAGCTACACCACTTTGCACCAGCTGAGAGCTTCTCTATACCAGCAAAATCATCAACTGGTCATTTAGAGCCAGATTCCACAACTTTAAACCACATGACTAGTGCAAAGTGGCCAGAACAGGAAGGACACAGACTCTGTATGTAAGCACAACACCCAGGCCATATCTGTACTACAAAGTTTAGTCAATCCCAGTTACTTTGGCATATAGCCACCAAAGTCTGTATATTGCTCAGGTGTATGCATGCTTGGTTTCTTGTGTAAGCATGGCCCATGCTCACCAGATGTTCTTATGTTAATGCAAAGTGTGGTGTACTGGGAGGAATCCCACTGTACCCCCCACTGCTGTTTGGCACAGTGCCTTTTCACAGTGTTCTGTGAGCTAGTAGCAAAGCACAGAGGGATTTCTGGGAGCTAGGAGTCAAGTTCCTAACATGCTGCTTTCTATATCCCATATTACTTTCCACATTTAATAATTTTAGCATCCTTTTGCAAAACTTCCACTGTCTCCAAAAGCAGCACTTTCTGGGCTCCACCATCATTGTCACAGAAGCCATGGATCCTGCAGAACTCAGCATAATTGCTAATATGTCCAGGAAGCTAATATGTCCAGTAGTCACACAGCTTGAGGAAGTACTACTATGATTAGGATTAAGATGAGAACAATGTGGATTTGTTTAAGCACAACTAGTGGAAACTAATGGGCACAGTGAAAAAACATTCCAGGTTGCTGCTGGCATTTTGGGGGCAGCTCCCATGGTAGATCACTACTTCTGGGCCTGAGAAACAGGTCTGGACAGTTGGAAATGCATCATCATAATGCACACTGTGGCTGAAGAACTTTTGGGTGCGAAAGACCACATTCTTGGATCTACCTGTTGAATTCATGTGAGTCCTTCAGCACAGGGACAACAGTATGACCGATATACTGACAGTGGAGAAGAGAGTGGTAACTTTCAGTGGAAGCTTGCTCCACTGAATTGCTACCAGTCAGTACAAAATCAGTTTGGAGCTGGAAAATCCATAGTTGGGGATGGAAGTTGGTAGTGCCATTAAACGTCTCCTGCTATACCAGTCCGTGACTTTCAGCAAAGTGTAGGACATAACAGATACATTTGCAGCAGTGGGATTCCCAGATTACATTGAGGCAACATAACGCAGGCATTTTGGCACCCGCTCACTTCACTACAGAGTATATCAACAGAAAAGGCTTCTTCTCCATGATTATGAAAGCAATCATGATCACCAGGGACATTTCACACATAACAATAAAGGCTGATCAGGGAAGGTGCATGACACTCAGATTTTTAAGAATGCAGAACTATTCAGAGAGCTGCAAGCAGAAGCATTATTCCCTGATTGGCAAATTACCACTGGCAAAACCAGAATGCCAATAGTGGCACACCCTGCTCCGGCTCATACAGCTATGCACTGGCCACCTTGACAGCAGCAAGGAAAGATTCAGCTACTGTCTCAGTGGGTGCCACAGAACTGTTGAATGCTTTTGGTAGACTGAAGGGACGCTGGTAGTATTTAGTTGCCAGACTGGATCTCAGCAAGAAACCCCCCAATGGTTATAGCCGCATGTTGTGACACAATGTCTGTGAGGTGAAGGGGGAAATGCTGCCACCAGTATGCAGGGTCAATATCGAGTGGCTGGCTGCTGACTTTGAACAGTCAGTCAGACACAAGAAGAGCAGTTGAGGAAGGCTTTAAAAGAGCCAGCCATAGCACAGCTTTCTGTTGCTTTCTTAAAAGAGTGCCCATCTTGTGTGTTTATACTAGCTTGGTCCAAGGCTGCCACTATGAATTCTGAAATGTTTGCCATCCCTTTATCTTTGCCTTCCATTATGTGTTTATGGTGCCTGAAATGTAATAAAGATACTCTGACTTTCCAAAAACTGCATGGAAAATAGCTGTTAATTAAATTAAAGTGCAAACAAAGATGTACAGGCTAATTGCTTTACTAGCACTGTTACAGGGTGAAACACAGTTTATGAGCACAAGTGAAAATGAAAGTAAACAATAACATTTATGTCCATATATGTACACAGAAGATCAATGTAGTCCATTGTGGCTACTCGTTTTCTCCACATATTTGTTTTGGTTCTCCTGACTGTCCCCTGGTATGGAGTGGTAGGTATAAGGAACTGCAGTGCCATGTTGGGAAGTATAGGGGGCAGAGACCATGCAGTTGTCCAAGAACTGCAAAGGCTTCTGGAATCTCTGGGCCTGCAGGTTAACCATGCTCTGAAACATTTGTGTTTGTTGCCTGAGCAACCTCATTATTTCCTGGTGCATTTCCTGATGCACCTCTTAGTTCTTTTGCCTCTCCTTCAGCAACCACTCTCTCCACTCTCAGTCTCTCTCATTGTTCATAGCCTGAAGGGCACTGCCAAGCCCTTTGATCATGGTCCAAAACAACTGTGGCTGGGAGGATGGATCTTGCATAACCTATACTCTTTAGTCCTCTTCCTTCTCAGGGGGCCTCTCTAGGCCACCACACCAGAAGCTGCTGATAAAATCAGACAGATATACCATTACATTTATAGTCACAATGAAAA